GATCGTGAGACCGATAGTGAAAGTGGTGCTCCGATGGCGACCCGGTTAGTGCCCCGATGGGTGTCCTGATGGTGTCTTGGTGGTGTATCGATGGTGCCTCGACGGTGTCCTGGTGGTGTCCGTAGGAAGACTTTGGGGGGTCGCAGAGAACCCGATGCGCCAAACTGTTCTCAATGTCAGCACCACTGGCCACGGGATCGACGGTGATACCTGTCGGTGCCCCGTCGGTGTCCCGCGGGTGTCCCGTCGGTGTCCCGTCGGTGTCCCGTCGGTGTCTCTTGGTGAGGTCGATGGTGCGATCAGTAGTGAGACCGATAATGAGATCGATAGCAAGAGTGGTGCTCCGATGGTGCCCCGATTAATGTCCCGATGGGTGGCCTGATGGTGTCCTGGTGGTGTTTTAATGGTGCCTCGATGGTGTCCTGGCGGTGTCCATAGGGAGACTTTGGGGGGACGATGGTGTCCTGGTGTCCCGATGGTGTCCCGATCGTACCCAACGCCACTAATTGTGAGATCGATCGCGGGATCGATCGTTGGATCCATCGACATTGAGATTGGCCGTGAGGTCGACAGTGAGATCGATCGATGGTGAGGTCGACCGAGTGGGGTCGATAGTGGGGTCACATCGCGACGCGGCATCGTCACCACGTGTCGTCGCCAACTCGAAGGCGCACCACCAGCATCGCCATCATCGCAGCCATCGCAGTTGTTGTCAGTTGGTTCTTTCCCCCAACCTCCTTATAACCCGAAGGGTGGTCGTATAGGTATACCGCGTTTGGCGCGTTGCGTAGTCAGGAACTGAGGAGGCACAGACCTTTCGCACAACCCGGGAAGCCCCCAATGCGGTCCCGAATCCAAATACATTTCTTCCAGCACGTGTCTACGACGCTTTAAGACAAGGAGGAGGAGGGATAATATGACGAGGAAGTGGACGAGCCTGGTGGTGGAGGGGGTGGAGTGGGGGCTGCGACGAGGGGCTGCGAGACATTTTGGTGTTGAGGTTGCGTGCGTGACAATTCAATTCATCGCTCACGCGCTTTATCTTTGGACTTGAAGCGCCCCAGCTCGCCACCATTGTTACCCATCCTGCCACAGTCGCCTCGGTCGGATGACCGGAGATCTCGAAGGATTATTAGCACCCCTTTGAGCTGAAGCTTGGAGTCGAGAGCTCGCCAGCACTTCGGGATGGCGCGAGGGTGTGGTCTCGGCTGCAACAGGCGAGGGGTATCACGCGCATGCCATGTGCCGTGGTAACACGGGCCTGGGCCCTGGGCCAGGACACCCCCTCGGAACTTGGGCTCCCTTCTGGCACCGGAAATCCGAATCCCTGCCGGAGCGTCCAGGGCCTTCGCCCAGCCGCTCGAAACAGCTCCGGAGATCAGGAGCAAGCGACGAGAGCAGCCCAACAGGGCTGAAGGGCAGCTCGAACATTTTCAAGGCGGCGCCAGACGGCCTACGCAGATCCCCAGACGGCCTCCTCGTCGGGGTGCCCGAGGAGCACCCATCAGACCTCCCCGGGAAACAACAATCATTGATGATTCATGGGTTCCGCACAAATGTAGCTTTTCTGCTCCTTTGGGTGCCCACCACGGGCCACGAACCCCCCAGGCTCGCTCTTAGACGTCTCCACCAGTACCCAAAGTGCCCCCAGAGTGGCTCAAGACGGCCCAAGAGGGCGCACAGAGGGGTGCACGACGGCACAAGAGATCCAAGAGGGCCCCAGGACGGCCCAAGGTGGGCCAAAGACGGCCCCAGCACGGCCCCAAGAGGCCCCCAAGACAGCCCAGAGGCCCCTCAAATCAGTGCCCAAACCCCAAGAGGTTAAACGGCCCCAAAAGACCCCCAGGACAGCATCTCCAGCACGCGGCTAAGAGGTTCCAAGGCTCCAAGACGGTCCAAAGACGATTGTAGGTAGCCGAGAAGCTTTTCAACACCGCCCCCGAGAAGCCGAAGTTATCGAACTTGAGTTCCTGCCAGTGCGACCCAGAGGGGGGTTCTGGTCTTCTTGCACCATGGTTTGGCTCCACATGAGTGGTCAGGAGTTGGGGTGGCCTTCGATGAACCGTGGCTCGGCCCAGATGGCGTGTACTACGGATACAGGTTCGGGCACCCTCTTTTTGCATTTTTCCTCCTGCTCCTCCTCCTCCTCCTCCTTCTCCTCCTCCTCCTCCTCCTCCTCCTGGGTCCCACGGTGGATCTAGAGAAGCGCAAGACGTGTCGAAGAAGTCTCAAAGAATTCCCACGTCGACGGCATCCCAAAATCAAGCTGCCGCAGGTCCCACTGCCAACCGCGAAGGAGCGCCAACATCGCCCCTGCACTCTTCATTGGCAACTAGCGATGCGAGTTCCTTGGGCGCGGCTAGAACCTATGCGCGCGCGAAGCGTGCGTGTGGGTTGAGAAAGATAGATCTGATGCTGGCGGTGATGTTGATGGTGATGGTGATGAGGGCGATGCTTATGATGGGGATGACGAAGGAGAGGAGGAGGAGGAGGAGGAGGAGGAGGAGGAGGAGGATACACCTGAACGCTTGTGCGAGGTGGTTGTGACGAGGGCGATGGAGACGGGTGGAGGCCCCCAGTGGGATCAGCTCTTGTCTCCCTTCTCTATTCCGTGGTCTTATCAGGTCAACGAGGGCGCCATAATCAACTACATCTCCAACAGTCTTCCACAGGATCCCGGTGGACCTGCCGGCAGCTGACTCCCGTGTCGCCGCCGTGGCTTCTTCCGTTCCGCCCATCATGCAGTTCTCGAGGATGTTGGCCGATATGGGGATGAGGCGGAGAAGGAGGAGGAGGGGGGGAGGAGGAGGAGAAGGAGGAGGAGAAAGAGGAGGAGGAGGAGGAGGAGGAGGAGGAGGAGGAGGAGGAGGAGGAGTTGGAGGAGGAGGAGAGGAGGAGGAGAAGGAGGAGGAGGAGAGAGGAGGAGAGGAGGAGGAGGAGAAGGAGGAGGAGGAGGAGGATAGTGGGGAGGAGGATGAGGAGGAGGATGAGGAGGAGGAGGAGGAGGAGGCGGAGCATGAGAAAGAGGGGGAGGAGGAGGAGTGAAGAGCGGAGGTCGAGGAGGAGGAGGAGGAGGAGGAAGAGGAGGAGTGGCAGAAGGCTGAGGGTGAGCAGGAGGACGAGGAAGAGTACGAGGGAGCAGGAGGAGGAGGAGCAGGGCCAGTGTACATAAGACGCACCAGCGATGTTGCAATACACCCTTCCTCCAAGCTCCCTCCCCACCTGGTCGGGAACTTTTGAATAGCGTTTCGCTCCGCCGGTTCTGGCACGCCGCGCCTGCGTGCGACACGCTATTCGCTTCGCGGTCCCGAGGCGTCCACGTCCCGAGATTTCCCCGACTTCCAGCCCCGCGGGGCGGAGCGACACGCTATCCACTCTCAGGGCATAGCATGTCGCCGGGGCAGCCGTAGCGACGCGCTGCCCAAAAGTTCCCGACCACAGGCCCCTACAATAATTTATTTTCATTGCAGGAACTGGCCCATTGGAAGACACCCGTTTGAGAACCTTCAATCGTGCCAGAACATCATTTCTGCAACTGCAGCGCCGCTGATCAACGTGACTGGCGCGTCTTGACAATCCTGAATCGTGCCAAAACGCCATGTCCGGGGACTTTTACTCCGCGAATCAGCCTGACTGTTGCGTCCTGACAATGCTAACTAAGTCGTGCCATAACGCCACTCCTGGCACTTCAACGCCACGAACCAACGAGACTGTTGCGTCCTGACGGTGCTGAATCGTGCCAGACCGTCGTTCCCGGGACTTCAGCTATACGAATCTTTGCAGCTGCTGCGACCTTTTGAAACGAATGCGCGCGGCGCCAAGGCGAGAGCCCCATTTCGAACACCAGCCGCCCTTCGTCCTTGCAGATGTTGCGCATGTGTAGAGGAGAAGGAGGAGGAGGAGGAGGAGGAGGAGGAGGAGGAGGAGGTGGAGGAGGAGGAGGAGGAGTTGGAGGAGGAGGAGGAGGAGGAGGAGGAGGGAGGAGGAGGAGGAGGAGGAGGGAGGAGGGAGGAGGGAGGAGGAGGAGGAGGAGGAGGAGGGAGGAGGGGAGGAGGGAGGAGGGAGGAGGAGGAGGGAGGAGGGAGGAGGGAGTGGTGGGTGACAGGTGTGCGGTGCTCAGGCGAGGTCCACGCCTCGAGAACGGCCCGCCCTCTATTCGTGAGGCTGCTGCAAAGATGTCACGCTTCGGGGTCGTTAGCGGTTGGGACGTCTCCGGCGAAGCGCCCGCCCCGCCCCACCGACGCGCCTGGGGGTGCGATAGGGGAGGAGTCATTCACGAGGACTGTGGACGGAGGAGGAGGAGGAGGATGAGGAGGAGGCGGCGGGAAGAGGAGGAGAGGGCTTGCATCTGCAGCGAAGCATCCGCTGCTCGACGCCCCATTGCGGGAGGAGGGGGCTGCCAGCGCCGATCCCGAGAAAGCTCGCCAGCTGAGGACGTGATCCCCGGCATTGCTTTTGTATCACCCATGTGCTGGGCTGGTTTTTGCAGCTCTCCTGGTGAGCTGCTTCCCTCGTTCTCGCGCCTCGCGGCGCCTCCCCCCTCCGCTGGCTGCCTCGCCGCAGCGCCAGCAGCGGCGGCGCCCCTGTGCAGAGGAGGAGCAGGAGGAGATGGAGGAGGAGGAGGAGGAGGAGGAGGAGGATGAGGAGGAGGAGGAGGGAGAAGGAGGAGGAGGAGGAGGAGCAGGAGGAGGAGGAGGAGGAGGAGGAGAAGGAGGAGGGGGAGGAGGAGGAGGACCACACCACCTCCAGCTCCCCCAGCCAGGGCGCTGTCTTAAGCTGCGCTCCTGGGCGCGGGGTGCGGCGATCGGGTGGCGCGCGGCTGCGCTCCTGGCTCCCAGGTGCTTCCTCGCGCTGCTCCGTGCCACTGCTCCGCCTCCTGCCGCGGCCGCCGCCGCCGCTGCGGCCGGCCTCCTCCTCCTCCTCCTCCTCCTGCGCTGCTGGTGCTGGTCCTGCTGCTGCATCGCCTCTCCACCCTCTCTCTTACTCTCTCTCTCTCTGCCTCTGGATATTTCTCCCTCTCTCCAGACGAGGTCTTGTTCTCGAGGAGTCGGGACGCTGATGTTCTCCCTCTCTCCAGACGAGGTCTTGTCCTCGAGGAGTCGGGACGTTGATGCTTCTTCCTCGGCGGAGGGCGACGGAGGGCCGGCGGAGGCAACACACATGTCGCCCGAGAGGTGGTTGCAGGGCTCCAGAACCCGCCATATGATTCTACATGTTTGATCTCTCCGCTTGCGCTCCCCTCACTGCGTTCTTTGCCTCGTTCGGGTGCCGGTGCCGCCGGTCGCAGCCCTGCCCCTCCGCGCCCTACAGCTCGCGAACCGCGGGGACATCGCGTTCGCCCTTGCGCGCCGCTTCGGGCTGCCCGGCGCCCCGCTGCAGCACGAGGGGGGGGGGGGGGCGGATGCGGACGTGGAAGAGCACCTCCCGTTTTTTTTTTTTTGTTTGTTTGTTCTCTCTCTCTCTATGTATGTTTATGTATATAGCTATATATGTGTATGCATGTATGTATGTTTGTATATACCTATACGACCACCCTGCGGGTGATAAGGAGGTTGGGGGGGGAGGGGGGCCAGCAATGGGCAACAGTGGTGATTGTTGCGTTGCCGCTCGCTCATGGGAGCCTTGGTGTCGAGTTGTTTACGTTATCCTTCGCTCTTGGGCGCCTCGGTATCATTCTCCCCCCCGATCTAACGGTCGATCTCACGATCGATCTCACGACCGATCTGACGATCGATCTCACGATCGGTCTCACTATCGATCTCACTATCGATCTCACAATCGATTCCGTCATCGGTCTCACTATCGTTTTCGCACCAGCGGGACACCCGGACACCAGCGGGACACCGGGCGCCACCGCTTGCCGGAGGGAGAACCATTTGGTCCGGCCGGTGCCCAGCCACAAGCGGGACACCGGCGGGACACCGGTGGGACACCGCGCCCCACCGCTTGCCGGAGGGAGAATCATTTGGTCCGGCCGCGCCTCAGCCACAGGAGACTTTCCTTTCGCCCGCCCACGCAGCTTCGCCTCGCCCGCACGCCCGGCACGCACGAACACGAGACCGGAACCGATTTCCGGGTGGCGGGTCTCTCAATTCCACTTCGATCCTACCCCCGACCCTTCGATATATATATATATATATATATATATATATATATATATATATACGCAGACATGCGACGTCCTGATTATCTCAGGACGGCGTCCCTGAAAGTACCGACCCTATATATATATATATATATATATATATACGCAGACATGCGACGTCCTGATTATCTCAGGACGGCGTCCCTGAAAGTACCGACCCTTTCCCCGGGGCTGGTTCTTCGTCCTGAGTCGATTTTTGACGCTGCCCCGAGGCCCGGCGAGGGCCCCCCCAGGGCCGAACATCGGCAAAAGCCTCCCTCCCTGATTTTTTTTACGACGCGATCATGTCTGGGTATATACATATATCCATATATATATATATATATATATATGGATATGTGTGTATCTGGCCACCCTGCCCGCAGACCCCGGGGTGGGAGAGGTCGGTGCAGGCAGGGCCAGAGCCGCTGCGCGGCGCGAGGGCGGACTCGCGGAGCTCTGCGGGGGTTTCTGCTGATGATGTGCTCGCTCTGCCTCGTCGTGGTCTTCTCGCAGCACCGTGGTCAAGCAGTGGCGAAGCGTCCTGGCTCGCCTATAGCCCTACCAGACAGTGTTCTGAGAACCTTTTGTGGTTCCCACGACCTGTTCTTGTGGCTGGGGCTGTGTTGTTTTAACGCATCGGGTTCATGTTCTAAGAACATTGTTTTTGTTCTTAGAACATTCTTGGGTTCTGAGAACATTTCGTGGTAGGACTATAGGAATGCCGGGACGGTCGGTCCCTGCTCAACGTTGGGGCCTCCACTGCCTGAGTGTCCTTTTCCCTTCCTTCACCGCCTACCAAACCACCCCAACCCAACCCGAAGGCTTCAGTTTGCCCTCCATTTCGAGTGGTGGGGGAGGGGGTCGGGGAACAATAATTAACCACACATGGAGCCCGTAATGGAGGATGCCGATTAATAAATGACCAGGGGTCGTGTTCACGCGGCGGCGCCCGGGATGACGAATAGAAAAAACCGGCCGCGGGCTGGAAAACTATTTTTTAAATCGTTCTCCCCCAGCCAGAAAATTGCACAGACAGAGCAGACAACTATGTGCTTAGTCGTTCTCTCCCATTTTGTTTATTAATCGTCATCCCGCATTACCCCCCCCAAACCTGACATTCGGAGCTTCGCGTTGGGTTGGGGTGGTCTGGTAGGTAGTCAGAGCGTGCTTTCCCTCCCTTCCCTCCCCTCCCGCGGCCGCTTTCCCTTCTCCTCGCCGTTTCCCTGTGTGTCAGCTCGCCTCTTCGCGACCCGCTTGAGCTCCGACCGAGCCTTGCGCTTGCCAGCGCCGCGACAAAGAAGCTTGGAGGAGGAGGAGGAGGAGGAGGAGGAGGAGGAGGAGGAGGAGGAGATGGTGGAGGAGGAGGAGGAGGAGGAGGAGGAGGAGGAGGAGGAGGAGGGGAGGAGAGAGGAAAAGGAGGAGGAGGAGGAGGAGGAGGGAGGAGGAGGAGGAGGAGGAGGAGGGAGGGAGGAGGGGGAGAGGGAGGGAGGGAGGGAGGGAGGGAGGGAGGGGGGGGGGGGGAGGGAGGAGGAGGAGCAGGAGGAGCAGGAGGAAGAGCAGGAGCAGGAGGAGGAGGAGGAGGAGGAGAGGAGGAGGAGGAGGAAAAGGAGGAGGAGGAGGAGGGAGGAGGAGGAGGAAGAGGAGGAGGAAAAGGAGGAGGAGGAGGAGGAGGAGGGAGGAGGAGGAGGAGGAGGACGAGGAGGAGGGGGGGGGGCGGAGGAGGGAGAGGAGAAGGAGGAGGAGCTCCTCTCACGACGTGGACCCCTGGCGGTCTGAGCCCTCCCTCCCCCGCGCCCGGCCTCGCGCCCCGAGGAGGCGCTTCGACGGCCGGGCAACGGCTGCCTTCCCTTGCGCTCTCGACGGGGGGCAGTGCGGGGAGACTCCTGGCCTTGATCCTCGATCCTCGGCCCTCGACTCTCGACCTTTGGTCCTCGGCGGGAGGGCAGTGGGGGGAGGCAGTGGGGGGAGCTCCTGGAATCCTGGGCGCTCTCGACGGGAGGCAGGGGGAGGGAGATCCTCGATCCTCGGCTCTCGACCTTTGGCCCTCGGCCCTCGGCCCTCGGCCCTCGGTCCTCGGTCCTGGCAGATCTTGCTCCCGCCCCGGGTCCCGACCCCGCGGAGGCCCTGGGAGGCCCCCGGAGGCCTCTGGAGGCGACACGATCGCTGACAGCGTTAGGATACCTCGCCCCTCGACCCCCTTCGAGGGTCGGGGGCAAAGCTCGGCACTCCGTCCTCTATCCTCGGTCCTGGCCCCCCCCCCCCCCCCCCCTGTCTGGGGGCTTCGAGCGCGGCAGGGGACCGCGCGGGGGACCCAGCGTCCGCGTCGCGAGCCGATGCGCTGGCACCCTCGCGGGTGGAAGGGGGTTTCCTTCCAATTGCTGTGCCGAACAGCTCTGTAGCTCATATGCAGTTCGAGTTAAGTTCAGAAAATCATCATCATTTCTTTCAAAAAAATAGCAGAGTACGAATAGTTGTTTGGTCTCAGCTCTGGTAGGAGACCGAGTTCAGGCATCTAGATACTTGAGACTAGCGCTCCTGATGATTGCGTTTCGATTGCTGTGCCGAACAGCTCTGTAGCTCATCTGCAGCTCGAGTTAAGTTAAGAAGACAGACAGCACCTGTCAATATGACACTCAACAGCCGATCCCGCCTGAGTGTTTTTTGATAGTAATATCCACCCGATCGACTTGATATCAAGATGGCGAGCGGGAATAATATCTAATATGGGGGGCAAACCATTAGAGTTGTTACGAATGGTCAAATTTCGAGATTGATTTTCCACCGACCAAAATTACGCAAACCATCCGTCGAGATTTTTCGGGCCAACTAGCCCGCCAGCGCGCCGGAATTACTCTCTAGCTTCGCCGCTTCGCTTTTAGGGAAGCTCTACGAGTTACTCAACCAGATCTGAAACCAGAGCTCGGCCAGTTCCCAGTTCCCAGAACCAGAACCGTAAGCAGAACCGTTCCCCAGAATCAGAACCAGAACCAGAACCGGAAGTGCATCAGAATTGAGGTCGGATTTCGGCGAGGTCCCGTCCTTCGAGGAACGGGAACTCGCCTAAACCTGAAATTTCACTGCAGAACCCGAACCACCGGAATTCAACCAGAACTTAAACCAGAATTATGTCAGGTCCCGCTCCTCAGACGAATGGGAGCCTGAACCGGAACTGGAATTGAAACCGGAGCTCGGCCGGTTATTTCCCGGGATCCCAGAACTGGAACTACCGAAACCGGAACCGCCAGAGCCAGATCGAACCGGAACCGGAATTGAACCAGAACTAAAACCAGAATTTGACCATTTCCTGTTCCCCATGCAGAACCAGAACCCGAACCCGAACCGGAACCGGACTTGCCCCCCCCTTTGGCCAGCTGCCAGAGCCAAAACCGGAACCGTAATTGGAATTGAAGCAGAGTTGAAACGGGAACTCGGCCAGTGCCCCCAGAACCGGAGCCAGAATCGGAATTGACCCAGGTCTGAAACCAGAATTTCGCAGACCGGAATTGCCCCCCCCCATTGCTGGCCGCCAGGGCAGGGACCGGAACCGGAAATGAACCAGAGCTGAACCTTGGAAGACACATCTAAAAATCTGTTTTGGTTGCTCATTTCCCCAGCGGCAGCTGCATTCGGAAGGACCGCATGGTATCTAAATTTCCTCCCTGAGTCATATGTGTTTTTACAGCGTTTCCGTACAGAAAATTAGATACGAATAGATATGTTTCAAACATAGATACGTTTAGAAACGATTTCTTTTTTAGATACGGGTGGTATTTTTTCTTCCAAATTTTGAATACGGGGTCATTTTTAGATACGAATCGATACGTTTAGATATGTTTAGATATGGTTCAATGTGGCGCCAATCGCTGGAAAACATGTATGCCACAAATATATACGAATAGATACGGCGCCATGTCTCCTGCGCACGCCCACGATCGATCATTCTCGCTCCTCGCTCCTTTTGGATCCTCCTCATCCGCCCTCCTCGGTGCTCATCTTCCTTTTCGGACCAGGATCCTCGGCGCCGCGGACGCACCAGTGGACGCGGAGGAGCGGGAGGAGCGCTGCAAAGCCCGCTGGCAACGCACGGGCCTGGACATTTTGCAAGAGCTCCCGACGGCAGTACCCGGGCGCTTCTGGCGGCGACGTCTGGAACGGTGGTCTTTGAACCTATTCCCGCGTCTCCGCGCTTCGCGGGCGCAGGGGGTCCTCGAGAGGTTGCGGACTGCGGCTCCTCCTTGCGTCCGCGCCGCATTGCTGCGGACGTGGCTCAACGGATGGTGCACCGGCCGTCGGTTTCAGCAGCGACGCAGATGCATCTTCGGGTGCATGCTGGAGGACTCCATCGAGCACTACGCGCACTGCCCCGTCGTGCACACGTTCGCGTGGCGCCAGCTGGCGATCCCGTCGGCGGCGGACAGCCTGGCAGCCTTCCTGCTGATGGACCGGCCGGTGGCGAACTTGCCCGCGGACACCGTCCTGCTTTCCGCGGTGCGGACCGCCGCGGTGTACAGGGTGCACTGCAAATCGCGCCACTCTGAGCAGACTGGCCCGATGACGGCCGACGCGCTCCACCAGGCTAGTCTGGAGCTGGTCCGCGGGCATCCTTCGGCGAGCGCGCTCGCGCGGGCGTATGCTGGCGAGCGCCGCGCACCCGCGCGCGCGCCGCAACGACGGCAGTTTTTGCTCACCCGTACCGCCGATAGGGCGCCCCGGCCGCCGTCCTCCCGCTCCTCCTCTCCTCCTCCTCCTTCTGCATTCGCGGGCCGTAATTCGTGACATTTTCGTTGCGTGTTGCCGCCTTCGCAGGCCGTCTTCAATTTTGGGTGTACCGGCCTATCCTCGATTTGAGGCCCGCCCCCGGCGTCCGTAGCCCGAGTTTCGGCCACGTTCGCAGGACAACCCTGCGGGGGGCTTTCCTTGTCGACGGTGTGTCTGGCGTCGCCCGGGAGCGCGCAGTACAGCCGTGCGCGTTCGCGAATAATTGCCCTAATTTCTGCCCCTGTTTTCCTCCCCTCTCTCCTCCTCCTCCCGTTCCTTTGTCAGGTTTTGTTTTTCGTGCATGACAGGAGGCTTGGACCAAAGGCTCGCGGCGTTTTCGCTTCCAGTGAGTTGCATCGCAGTTGGGGCTTTCACGCTTGCGGCAGCATGAGTAGGTTAGCTCCTGTGGAGGTCCCGCAGACCACCCCGCAGCCGCGAGGGATCCAAGGTCCCAGGTGACCGGAAAACGCTTCCCGCCACCCGGCCTGAATTCCCGCCGGTGCTTGCGAGTATGGGCATCCTCTGCTGTCCCGGCCGCGTGGCCGATAGCGTCTCTGCCTAGGCTGGCTTGGAGCGGATAACAGGGTTCAAAGTTGTACCGCACCCGCCTGGGATATCCTTCCCCCCTCGTCTCTTTCCTCCCGCTCTCGCCTCCCGGAGGCGGAGCTCCGGCTAGCCCCTCGGGGTGGGCCAGCTCTTCGCCTCCTCTGCTTGTCTCCTCCTCGCTCCCCCCGTGCACGTCGTCGCACTCGGCCCGGGACGGTGGCCGCTTGCACGTCGCTCTGCAGGAACGTTCTTCCCCCCTTCCGCCCTGCTTCCTCCTCTCTCCCCCCCTTCCGCTCTCTCCTCGGATCGTGTTCTGGTTAGTCCGGCCGTGCATTGCCGCGGTACTTGCCGATCCGGCAGCGCACCGAGTCCGTGACATGAATTCCGCTGTTCGCTTCTGTCCCGGCCACGTGGCCGATAGGCTCATGGGCGTGCCGGCCCATCCGCTATCGCACGGCGGAGGGTTGTTGTTTGGCGCGGCGGCGGAAAAGGGGCGCGTCTTGGCGCCATCGTGTTGAGTCTGCTTGTCTCCTCTCCTCTCCTCTCCTCTCCTCTCTTGCCGTTGCCGCCGCTGCCGCTTATCTACCGTCTGCAATCATGATAGCTTGTTGGAGTCGCTCCGGCTGGAGCTGCATTCGCTGGGGATTTCCGAGTGCTTTGGCTTGTCCACTTTCCTCCCCCTCCCTCCTGTCTTCCTCCTCTTCCTTCTCTCCTCCTCGTTCTTGTCGGGGTTTAAAGTTCGCATGGTCATTCACGGAGCTTGGCCTCTCATAGTTTTGTAACTATGCAGTTTTGCCATTGTCCAAATTCTCCAGTTGCACGCAACGGTTCGCCTATGGCAGGCTGGCCTGCGCGCTGCTCCAGGTGTATTGGATTTCTTTTCCGCCTCTCTCCCCCTCTCCTCCTTTCGCCTCCTCCTCCTCCTCCGGCGTTCTCTCGCTCACTCTCACTCCGTCGTAAGGCTGGAGGACCCTGCCAGACCCGAAGTGATATCGGATGGGTCGGCACGCCGGTTTTTCCCAGGGCTTAGGAAGATTACTTCGGCCACGGCGTAAGGCTGGAGGACCCGCCCCCCCCCCCCCAAAAAAAAAAAACAAAAAAAAAATGAGTGGGATTTTTGTTCCCCGCATCCTGAGTGGGGTTCTTGTTTTCCTAGAACACCCTCTCCTGTTCCTTCTACTCCTTCTCCTTCTCCCGCCTCCCTACTATACCATACCAATGCGTACCATACCAATCCCACGCCGACCCACCATACCATACCCACCACACCACCCTTACCATACCATACCCACCATACCAATCCAAACCTACTATACCATACCATACTTACCATATCATTCCATACTATGCCATACCTACCAAACCTACTATACCATACCTCTCCTCCTCCCCATCCTTCTCGACTCCTTCTCCCTCTCCTCCTCCTCCTCTTCCTCCTCCTCCTCCTCCTCCTCCTCCTCCTCCTCCTCCTCCTCCTCTTTGCTCTCCCCATCCTACGGCTCCCTGTTCCTAACCAGTTCTCTCCTAAATTTCGTTTCGTCGTCGATGTCCATCATACTCCTCGTCGTTTTTGTCGTCGTCGCTCGCCTCCTCACTCCTCATCGCTACGGCATCCCACTATCCTCATCCCGTTGTTCATTGCTTCGGCCACTATCATGGATCTTGTTCGTGCCGGGAGCACAGCCAACTGCATTCGTTCGGACAAAAATTAGATACGAATATATACGGCGCGGCACTGCATTTCTTTGAAAAATAGAGACGAATAGATATGCTTTCTTGAAGAAAAATAGATACGGTCCCAAATTTTCAGATATGCTTGAACAGTACCTACGTTTAGATACGGCGGCGCTCCCGCGCAGGGGGGCGCGCATCTAAAAATAGTATCTATAGTGTCGTCGTTGCATAAAATAGATAGGATGGGCTTCTCGCCTGCGCCAGGGCGCGATCGCATCTAAACGCATCAATTATTTTTAGATACGTCTTGCAGGGCCAGTTCCCGTTCCCCAGAGCCAGAGACGGAACTGGAATTGAACCAGAATTGAAGAGGATGAGGAGGAGGAGGAGGTGACGAGGAAGAGGAGGAGGAGGAGGAGGAAGAAGATATGTGAGGAGACTCGTTGGGGGGCAGCCAGGCGCCGACGAGCTTTTCCAGCGGCAGTTCAGCCAGTACTTTGCGCCCGGGGCTCGTGGCCAGCTGCATCCCCCGGGCCTCCAGGAGGGAGGGGGAGGAGGTGGGAGAGTGTGGTAAAAGGGTCCTCCTCCTCCTCCTCCTCCTCCTCCTCCTGCTCCTCCTCCTCCTCCTCCTCCTTCTCCTCCCCCTCCTCCACTTCCTCTTCCTCCAGGAGGAGCAGGGCGAGCGGGATGGCGAGGGGGAGGAGGACGAGGAGGAGGAGGAGGAGGAGGCGGAAAACGGGGGGGAGGAGGACAAGGTGGAGGATGAGGATGAGGATGAGGATGAGGATGAGGATGAGGATGATGAGGATGATGATGAGGAGGAGGAGGAGGAGCAGGAGCAGGAAGAGGAGGAGAAGGACCAGTCCAAACACAGGATGCATCGACGATGTTGCAACAAACGTTTCCTCAAAGTTTTCTTCTCATAGGCCCCTACAAGATTTCCGTTGCGGGAAGAGCCCCGTTGAAGGACAATCGTCGCAGACTTATCCATCTTGTCAAAACAGCATTCCTAGGATTCCACCGCCGCGAACCACCGTGACTTTCACGCCCTGACATTCGTAAACCTTGCCAGGGCATCTTTCCTGGGACTTCAGCGCATCGGATCACGTCCTGGCTGCTTTCCGCGTCAGAACACAATTCCTGGGACTCCAGCCGTACGAGTCCTTGAGGTTGCTAGCACTGTTTGCAACGAGTGTGCGCGACGCTGGGGAGAAGACAACACTTTGAAAAGGAACCGCCCTCACAGATGTACGCGGGGCCAGGGCGCGAGCCACGTATTGAAAACCAGCCGCCCCCATCTTTTGCAGCTGCACATGTCAAGCTTCAGGGCCATACGTGGTGAGGACGTCTGCAGCGAAACGCCTCGTCGACTCTGCCGACGCGTCTGGAGTGCGACACGGAGGAGTGACCCATAAAGAGAAGGGACGGAGGAGGAGGAGGAGGAAGAGGAGGAGAAGGAGGAGGAGGAGGAGGGGGAGGCGGAGGAGGAGGCAGAGGAGGACGAGGAGGCATGAGGAGGCATGAGGCGGAGGAGGGGGAGGCAGAGGAGGACGAGGAGGAGGAGGCGGAGGAGGAGGAGGAGGAGGAGAAGGCGGAGGAGGAGGAGGCGGAGGAGGACGGGGAGGCGGGAGGCGAGGGGGAAGAAGACGGAGGCCCGGTGCGGACGGCAGGGGGGCTCTTCGCTCCATTTTTTTGCCCGCCGCGGGACCTCGCGCCTCAGAGGCGGCAAGCCGCGGGCGCTCCTCCTGTGGCCGCAGGAGCGCTCGGGGCGGGAAGGTGCCCGGCCCCGGGCCTCGCCGACGGGGAGCGGCGCCCTCCCCGGCGGGCAGGCGTCGGGCGCGAGGTGCGGGGGCGGGCGAGCGGGCCAGCGGAGAGAGGGAGGCCACGGAGCCAGGAAGCACACGAGAGCAGAGGAAGGGATGGATGGCCGAGGCGAGATGGGGAGGGCAGAGAGGCGACGCATATACACGTGCACGCGTATATGTATAACTACACATTTATAGTTACAAGTGTGTATATAGGTGTATACATATCTACACATATACATACAGAGAGAGAGAGAGACATAAACCAATAAAGAGAGATAGAGAGAACGATATGTGCATATATATACATATTTGTATATGTATATATATAAAGAGAGACAGCAGATGGGGGCGCCTGGCTTTCGGCATGTTCGTCAAACTGACCTGCTGTCCTCCTCTTCTTTTTCTCCTCTTTCTCCGCTTGTCCTCCTCCTCCTTTCTCTCCTATTCCTACTTTTCCTAGTCCTCCCTTTCCTCGTCTGACTCTTGTTCCTCCTCTTCCTCCTTTCCTTCTTCTCCTCACGGAGGGGGAGGGAGGAAGGAGGGACAAAGAAGAGGAGGTGGAGGAGGAAGAGGAAGTGGGGGAGAGGGACCCTCTTCCTCCTCCTACTCGCCCCGGCTCCCCTTTGTCATCGTTGTCGTTTTCCTATTCCTCCTCCTCTTTCCTCTTCCTTTTTTCTCCCCCTTCATCTGATTACTTCTTCCCCCTCTTCACCTCCCCCCTCCTCCTCCTCCTCCTCCTCCTCCTCCTCCTCCTCCTAGTCATGCCCCCTCCCTCTTCCTCCTGCCCTGGTCGCAGAGACCTCCCTGCCTTCTCCCCCGTGCTCCTCCGTGGCACCCCCAAGGTCTGGCGACTATCCGAACGCCGCCCGCGTGGCCGCGCAGTGCAAGAGCGGCATGCTGCGCACGCCCCAGACCATCCAGCAGTTCAAGAGCGTACAGGCTTCCCTCCTTCTGTCCTCCTCCACTTCCTCCTCCTCCTCCTCCTCCTCCTCCTCCTCCTCCTTTCCTCCCCCTTCTCCTCCGTCGCCATTCTCGCTCAAGACGTAGACTTCTCTAGGGGAACGACGTGGATGCCGCTAGTCCGCGGCAGGCAAGACCTTTCACGGTCTGGCATTCCTTCAATGTTAGTTGCTTATCTCTTTTTCGCACCGCTTTTTTCCCAGTCTCTCGCGCCAGTTCCTGACGCACCAGTGCGCCGTGGCGAAGTGGTCCCAGCTAGGGCAGGGCGCGCCAGAGGAAGCAGATCTATCAAGAGAAGCCGTACGACGTGTACTGAGGATTGTACGACAGAGATTGTGCACAGACGAAGCCTCAGGGATCTGGACCTGCTGGTGTTAAAGCGAACCCGAGGTGCCACGTGGAGCCCTCCAGGTACTTCGCGCTGCGCGACCTGATCTACAGGATCAGCTGGGATGTCAGATTAAGCAACTCGTTGGCGCACCAGGCTCATACGGGAGGTGGGGAACGCGGCCAATGCAGTCCGACTTGCGTCGCGGGACGTCCACCACCGCAAGGCTCGAGTCGAGAAGCTGGAGGATCAGTTGTCCGAAGCGCGGGTGGCTGTGCAGGAAGCTGAGCATGCAGTCGTGATGCGAGCCAGAAGAAGAAGGAGGAAACAGAGAAGCAGTTGCTATGTTCAGTGGAGATGGTCGGATTCAAGCTAAGCGACGAGAGCGGCGTGAAGCTCAAGCTGCACCGCAACCGGTACCACCAGCGCCGCCAGCAGGAGGACAGCCACTCCCAGCTGGTACACCCCTACATGGAGCAGGTGTTGCAGCAGGTGCTGGTGCAGGGCACGCAGCTCAGCCAGACGCCAGTGACGTACCAGCGGATGATGTACACATACGTGACGTCGGCGAAGTTCCAGAATTTCATACGGTGGACGCTGCACAGCTACGACAATGGTGTGCCGGGAGGCGCCTACCACTCAACATGATCCAGCAGATCGCGGTTATGCAGAAGCAGATCCAGGAGGCAGCGATTTTCGACGGCGACGGCATGTTGGATGTGGCTTCGGAGGCTGATGACGTTGCCCCCGGCCTGGCCGACGAGTTGGCTGCGCTGCGCAGGAGGTCACTCCAGGGTGCGGTGGCCGAAGTCGACCAGACCCAGATGGAGGAACTCATGGTGCAGCGGGCCAACACCGGGGCCGCCGAGCGGGTCAAGAAGGCGCAGACTAATGCAGGCACCAAGTTCAAGGATGTGTTAAAGGCAGCGTTTGCGCAGATGGCACAGCCGCAGCTTTGACGGGGGTGTCAGAGTTCTTCAGTGTAAAATCACACAGGTGGGCATTGTCACCAAATCCTTTTGAGTGAGTTGCATAGCCAGGCTTGCGCCTGTCTGTTTTTCAGGAGGGGAAAAAACACACAGACACAATTAATCGTCGATCCCCATGAAAATATGCGAAAATATGGGCAGTGGGGGGGAAGACAAAAACCCAGAAAATATATGAAAATATGGGGAATCTTTTTATTTGTGTGTATTTATTTGTGTGTCCCAGGGCCCCTTCAGTTTTGTGAACCTCGCCGGCTCCCCGTCGACTTGAGATCGGCCTGGAGCGACGTTGCTGAGCTGAAATGGAGGCCCCACGTTGCCCCTGCAACCCCGTGCCCTGGAGGGGGCGCGCAGTGGGGGTAGGGGCTGCTGCGAGTAACGCCTTGACTTTTTCAAGCGTTTCCTATCTCACTCTGGCCAGGCTCGTGATGGTGCGCGGCTTCGGTATCTGGGGTGAATATTTCCAGTGAATGAGGCGCATCTGCACCTCTGTCAACTCTCGTAGCATCCCGTGTTTCCTGGTGGTGGACTTCAACTTTAATATTGAATTGATGGAGCTGTGTGGTTCTTGAAGGTGACGCATCCACGTCCCCGATAGAGTTGATTTCGCACGCAGCATGGGACAACGATCGCTCATCGACAAAGTGGTTGCCGGCGAGACGAATGCACCCTTGCGGGGGGGTTGAGAAGTTCCAAGCGTCGTCTTTCAAAACGCTTTGCTGCCTGGACGCCAAGCTCCCGCAGAAGGCCCTTGCGTCGGGATGGAAGCCGCTGCGGGATTTATACCGACACAAGCTTATACCGCGTGTTCGACGGCATGCGTTCCAAACTTGGCACATGTTTGTTTATGATGGTCTAGAGCCACTGATCACACGCACCTGCACATTGGCACCCGAGTGCGAACGCAACCCGCAGATGCATCACGGGCGTGGGGATTTCATGAGTGCGCGCGCCATCACAGTCACTGATCATGGCAATAAAAGCTGACGCTTTGCCGAGCCAGCCTGGATTTTCTGGCCCCTGATCTCGCGGGAGTTCTTTGAACTGCGTCTTGCAATGGTTTGCATCTAGCCGCGCTTGCCGCGGCATGCGCGCGGCCGCTGGGGCTCGGCGCGCTGGCCTCGGCCGACGCGCCCCGCACTTCGACGCCTGCCTGCCCGCTGGCTGGCCCGTCCGTCGCTGAGTGGCAGGCTCAGCTGTCCAATTCTGAGTCGGCCGACCCCGGCCACCAGCTCCCAGTTCCTAGCGATGCTCGGTCGTCGCTCGGCCCCGCCCTTTCCTGCGCCGCGGCGGCGGGCGAGGGCGCCGCCCGCCGGGGCGACCGAGGGCAGGCGCATGCAGGCCGCCCCTGGCGCGGGGGCTGGGAGGGCCCTCTTGCGGCTGCGGCAGGTTCCGGGCGACCCCCTCGAGCGCCTCGCTGCGCCCCGCGGGGCCCCGTCCAGCTGCCGCGCGAGCACGCGGCTCGCCGCGAGTCGCTCTGGGGGGGGCGTCTGGGCCGCCGGCCCGTCGCAAATTCAGGCGCTGAATGACGCGGCGGGTGGCCTTCGGACCGGGGCCCCTGGGCGCGGCCCCCGAGCTGCCCGAGCTCGGCGTCGGGGATCTCCGATCTCCGCGGGGCGCGCGGGGGGTTTGCTTGGGGATTGTCGCGGCGGGGGCGGATCGCTGGAAGCCTCGAGGAAACCGGGGGGCTGGGCCCTGCTGTCGTCGAGGCCCTGCTTGGGGCTGCGTCGGGAGTGCGAGCGCCTCGCGGCTTGGCCGCCCCAGATTCCCCCCTCGGGATCATTGCTTTGCCCCCCCCCCCAGGGCAAAGCCGATGCAGTGCCTGTGTGTGGCCCCACTACCACTACTACTACTACTACTACTACTACTACTACTACTACTACTACTACTACTACTACTACTACTACTACGACTACTACTACTACTGCTACTACTACTACTACTAGTGCTACTACGACTACTATTACTACTACTACCCTAAAAAAACTACCCCCTAAAACTAACTACTACTACTAACTACTACTACGACTACTACTAGCACTACGACTAATACTACGACTACTACTACTACTACTACTACTAACTACCTACTACTGCTAACTGCTGCTGTTGCTCTGATGCTGCTGCTGCTTCGCTGCTGCTGCTGCTGCTGCTGCTAACTACTACACTACTACTACCACTACTACTACTACTACTACTACTACTACTACTACTACTACTACTACTACTACTACTACTACTACTACTACTACTACTATTACGGCTACAACTACGACGATGGCGACGACGACGACGACGACGACGACTACTAGTACTACTGCGGCCACTGCTATTACTACTACTACTACTACTACTACTACTACTACTACTACTACTACTACTACTTCTACTGCTACTGTTTCTACTACTACTACTACTACTACTACTACTACTTCTACTACTACTACTATTACTACTACTACTGCTGCTGCTGCTGCTACTACTACGACTACTACTACTTCTGCTGCTACTACTACTACTACTACTACTACTACTACTACTACTACTACTACTACTACGACTACTACTACAGCTACTACTACTACTAACTACTACTACTAACTTCTACTACTACCTACATACCTACTTAACCTACCGACCGACCGACCTAACCTACGATACGTAACACCTACCTACCTACTACCTACCTACCTACCTACCTACCTACCTACCTACCTACCTGACCTACTACTAACTACGAACTAAGCTACTACTGCTACTTACTACTGCTACTACTACTACTACGCTACTACTACTACTACTACTAACTACTA